ACACACACACACTTTCCCAGGATTTCCACACAATCCATCTGCTCTGAACTGTACTCAGATATGAGCTAACAAAATTATGTTTTGGCCAAGACCCCAGCAGTACATCATATGTGAACAAAAAATTTACCCTTAGTACTGGCCTTGGATTCCCAGTATACAAGAATATATGCTATAGTAATGTTCCGTACTTAATTGTCCTTCTGCAACCTTTCCAAAAGAAAACAATGATCTCATGTTGCCTTTTATAATTCTTCCACTCTTTTGAAGGCAATACAATAAACATACAAATCCAAGGCCTACTGTTGCTAATCTGCTTAATGGGCAGAAGTATTAACAAAAGCACATGTTTGCTGGGATAGTTTCCAGGATGTCCTTAGAGCTCAAATGGACATCAGACATTCTCTAGGTTTTCAGGCTAAAAATGTTCCCAATATCATTTCAATTATTCTTTCACTCTGCAGTCCTCTGCACCCACAACAAACTTTCAGAGTTTTCCATTACATCCCCAGATTTGTTTCACTCCTGAGTCAAGGTGATGGAGCTGGAAGAGGATGCTCACTCCTCCTGACAGGAAGCAGCAGCCAGCACTGCAGTTGTGCATGAAGTGTGTGGCCCTTGCTGTGGGCTCTGGCACAGAGCTGCAGAGTGCTGAGCCTGATGCCATGGGCAGTAGAATGAAGGCAACTCTTCTATGCACACAGGCAGTGGGAAGGGGCAGGTGGCCCAGGCATAATCCTAACCTATTACTCTGACCAGGGTAAGCACAAAGTCCTTGCACGTGCAGATTTTTATACTGTGCTGCCTCCTCTTTTAAAACAAAGCAGAGTGTGAGAAGCTCAACAACCAGCACTCCCTCATGTGCCTTGGCAGAAAGAACAACAGATATTTATCCTAACAAACCCATTTAACACCCCATAACTCACGTATTGCTAAATTTCAGAGGTAGTTTTCTTTGTGTTTTCTCTTCGTATCGTTTTGACAAGAGGCTTAAAAACTCAGTTTTGAAGACTGATTCGAGCAAACTATCATATTCCTGTTCATGTAGAATGAACATGTCGTCCTGCATGGTGCTGCAAAGAAATCAGAGCATGTATCAGTCACTGCAAAAATTCATCAGCAAACACAGCCAGCATTACATGACATTTGCAGAGTACTCATGGTTAATTCTTAAAAACATGAGGAAGTCCAAGCATTATGGGTTATAGAGCCTTCCCTCCTGAGAACAGGTTTGGTTCTTTTTTCAGGAGCTGATAATGGAATATCTGAAACAATCCATTCTGAGAGACAGGAATACTACTTAATCACTTTACAGCAATTACTGTTAACAAAAGAACATGTGCTATTAACGTTACAATTACAGTCCCTCTCTTCAGTAATGGCAAATCTTGTGATGAGAGATAAATTGGAGACTTGAAGGTTACTAAAGTAACACTTTAGTAACAAAGCAAACACGTTCAGAATGGAAGCTTTCAACTGCCAAATTGCCTTAGCTTGGACTGATTTATCACACATGGGTTCCATCACCACCTTTGGACCTTTCAAATCCTGATGGATTTAGATCATTACAAGTTTCTGCCATTTTTCCTAACTAATTAGGATAGCTGTTCTCTACCTATATTAGCTGTGATAATAATAGTTAGATGATTATGATCGTGATTCTAAAGCTCAGTTATTTATTGTTACCAAAAATGCAAGAACATTTCCATGAGTATGGGTTGTCATTCTCAGTACCCTGAACGAATTCCAAGTTGAACATTTACACTTTAAATTGCCACTCCTTTTGTAATTCAAATTGTTATGTACTGTTAATTGCACTTAATACATGTCAGTAGTGCTGATTATTCTGCCTTTATTGTGTGTGTTATTTTCCCGTCCTACACAAATTTCTCTGTCAATGGAAAGATATTTTCAAAGTACTGACCTTAGAGAAACAGAAAGAATTCTCTCCACTTCCATCCTTCTCTTTAACACTTCCTTCACTTGGCCTTTCTCTGGACCCTGCTTTATCTTCTCACGCCCAATCAGGTATATGCACTTGGGGGTGAGGACCAGATCTCGCTTCACACTCTGGAACACAAAGTGTTTGAAAAGGCTCTGAAGAGATCACTGCACTGTGTTGTGATGCTGTTCCCAGGATACATGAGGTTCTATGGTTTGGGGCAACACTGTTAGTCTTTTGTTCAAGTGAAAAAGTACTGCTGGGGTTAATCACATCAGAGTCAGATGGCACAGGACAGGAAAGTGGCTTTGTTCTCCTAACTAAGGCAGCTTTTCTGCCCAGCAAGTCCCATACAGCTTTCATCCTGGGACAGCAGCTTAGACAATGGCAATGTTCTGATCACAAGGGTGTAACTGCTTCCCTGTGAGTCTTTTAAGTCCCAGACACTTTTTTCAAGCTGCTGTCCCAGTCGGTGTGACACCAGCCTGGTGGAGTCTGTGGTACAGGGTGGGGAATACACCTGTAACTCCCCAGCAGAACTAATCATTAGTGGATGTTGCTCTCAAACCTACCTTGAACCGCCTGTCATACTTGGTCACAGTGTCTGCAAAATCAATCTTCTCCCTCTTGCCCACGAACTGGCGAAGCTCTGGGTGGTCCTCCATGCCTATGTAATCTCCCACAAAATTCCTGTTAATGCTGTTCCGTCTCCTCTCTTTCTTGTTCAGCAATAGATCTGATGCTTAAATACCAAAAATAAACATTGATTAACAGCTTTTACTAAATTTCCTAAGCTCATGCTCCAAAAGAGCTAACTGTTTCCAGCAGAACTTCTTCGTTAGAAGTGATAACCAAAATGTTTATAAAATGGAAGACACAGTAAAGTACTGCTACTAATCCTTTATACAAGGCTATATGTGACTATTAAACCCACTGCTAATGAAATAATCTGATGGCAAGCTCAGTAGTTCTGGAGCACTCCTGGAACTATGGAATTTCTCACTCATTTCTGGAAATTAAAGATTACCTCTTCCAAACCGTGAGTGTTCATTCACATTACCCAGGGCACATGTGCAACTAAGGAGTACAGTCCTTGGACTGATTTGCATCATCTACAGACCATCCAGGTCCTGCACAACTCTGGGAAGCATTTTCTTTTTTGCCTCCCCTGGAACATCTCTGATATCTGTCCTACTCAGTCTGGCTTTGATTAGAGAGCAAAACACTGGGTAGTCCAAGAAATCCAGGCACACAGAGCAGTCAATCTCATCAGTGGTACCTTAAGGGTCCAACGATTTACAGTCATTCCTAGACAGTTACTTCCTATAGAGAGGAAGATATTTCACTCATCCCTTGTGGCCCTCTTTGTGTTCCTGGAACCATGTGTAAAATATCCATCATCAGAAGTTATGACCTACCTTCTTCTCTCATCTGTACGTATTTTTTCCTGGCTGCATACTTCCTCCATGCCTTCTGGATGGCCCTGGCATACCCATCATACTTTCTCTCTCTCATCTCTTCTAACAAAAACAGCTGTACAAAGAAACAGTAGAGTGGGTCAAACAGTTTACATGCAAAGTTCAAGAGAAAGCTACATTTAACTTCCAATAACTTTTCAGGGCATCTCACTCTAGATCCAAGCTGCTGCTTCCAACACAACTATGGGATGTGAGATTAGAATGCTGAAGTAACCTTTCTTGGAAGAAATCTCTGATGCTTGAGTGTGGCTCTTACAATCTATCCATTCATCTCCATAAGCAGTGATGAAGGAAGAGGATATGGATTCTCCCTGAAAAACTCTACCATTACAACTCCATGTTCTCCACTGTCCATTCATTCAGCCTCCAACTATGAATTCTCCATAACTCTTATTTCTTGTCAGAATGTTACCAGGTCTATGAGGATCTGTGCAATGTGTAACACAACACATTTTGTTCCTCCCTGACTGAACTTCATACTCATGTTCATCAGCTCTATTCTCTCCCTCCAGTGAAGTTTCTCAGCTGGCTGAAGGATTTACAACTATGACCACGTATTTCAGTATGACACAATAACATTTTTGGGTCTAAAATGTCAGAATTCAAGAAAAAATACTGGTTTTATCAAAACAGAAATGGAAGGTGCATCCCCTTTTATGAAAATTTTCCAGTTCCCACTAAAATAATGTCAATTTAATGCGTTAGAACAACTTTCTAGGTATTGTAATATACAGTATTCATGTATGCAATACATACTTCACCATAGCCTTTTGCATACTTTAGTTAAATAGTTTTTTGGCTCATCAGAAGCACAAGCACTTGGCTAAATGACAGCACTCCATCAGTTCATTGACATGACTTGCCTATTATTTCCCTCCACTGTGTGTTAAATATTCATAAGAACTTTCCTTCTAGCTTCCAAAAGAGAAACTCAGTAAAAACAGGTATATGGAGAAGCAAACCTGGGTTTTAGGATTCTTTTTTTTTATTTTGCTCCTCTAAACCATGGAAATCTAGAAAAATACTGTTGTTCATATTGATCTTAAAAAGGAAACTTGATCTAGTGCAAACCATTTCCGCAGAACTTCGCTCGCTGTTGTACAGTTATTTATTCAGGTGTGTGATGGAAATGTAAATAATGAAGCCTCCTTTCTGCCACCCATAAAACCTTATTTCACAGTTGGCAACACTCCATCTACAGCAAACATTGAAAAAAAAACCTCTTCAGGAACACAAGCACCAGATAGGGTTTCAGCACACAGGCCTGAGTGCTCCTGATGCAAAAACATCCTCAGCTTCAGCAGGGGCATGACCAAGCCCTCGTGCCACTCAGGTTACAGTAACAATATTGATGTTGTCTCTCATGAACACTTACCATTTATTTCTCTAACAATAATGCTAATTGCAAAATCTCAGTGCAAAATAATCTATCACCTGCAGCTGAAGGTCACCATTAAGGAAGTTCAGCTAAATCACCAAGCTAAAATATGGTTCTTAAGCTATAAAAATACTGCATAAACTCTTCCCTAAAATATGTATTATAAAGCCTCTCCTTACACTGCCAAGCAAATCAAGGTTTTTTCATCTGATCAATCACAACAGGTGCTCTTTTTGGTGGTAGAAAAAATAAAATTCATTTACTATCTAAAAGATTGTTTTTCACAAAAGCAATATAACCCTAGCCAATATAGCCAATACTCTAGTAATATAAGATGAAAGATGATTGTCTTTCTTAGTAGCAGATATAAATCAAGCTTTAGAATATTCAGCTCACAGAAATATTTTCAACTTCAAATGAAAAAGGCCCAGACTCTCTCTAGTACTTGTTTAAAAATAGGCTCCATAGCATTTTAGAAAAAACTTTCAAGAATATGTATATAGTAATTGAAAGCATCAATTTTAACTTAAATTTAAATGCGACCCCAAAATTTATACTTTTTTCAGTCAACCTGATGTTGTCCTAACCTGCAGAACTTCTTAACTGTTTATCTCCCAAACTGAGATTGTGTTTGGTAGGTAGGTAACTGCAATGGTTGCAAAATAATTTAACAAGGAAACAAGAAAATCAGGTTTGCTACAGCAGAAAGATGATGAACATGGGACTGGAAGATGTTGCTTAGACTACTAATTCTGGTACCCTGTAATTACAAGCAACTAAGTCATCTTTATTAGTTCAAATAGATACTTGACCAGAATGTGTACTTGCCACCACCCTGTAATAAACTTGAGGTCATTAGTAAAGGACTAAAGTCACAGCTGTGCTGTCACAAAAAGAGGCATCAGACATCTGCTAATGTCCAAGGCTATTGCACTGAGTTTGCAAGACAAAACTCCCAATAATCTCAAGAAACAATCCAGGGCCTGTGCTACAGGGGAAGCAGATAAAGCTCACACTCCCTCATGATTGGCTGGTTGGAGTGGTGCTGGCAATGACTGAGTAGGATTGATCCCATACTAGAGTTTCTTGCTCTGCCAATATGCACCTAAGTATTCAAATAACCTACATCTGGAGTACTATATGCTGTAATACCTAAACATGTCTCTCAGATGGCAGAATGTAAAGTCCCACTACTCCTCAACAGACATTATACTATCTACCCTAGTTATGGTAGAACAACATAATTTCTATTATGACTTGGAGAGGCATTACCTTTTTTCCTTTAGCAAATATGTTCCTGTGTGATTTGGCACAGGAGTGTCACTGCCTGAATTACTATTGCTCTACAGAGCAAAAACTATGCTTCTGGAACAGAAAATGATAGTAATAGAAGTGTTCTGCTTTTATTTCAGTATGGAACTTCAGGTAAAGCACCAAGAAACCAATGCTCAGCTGCAAGGCATGCTCCACAAGCTGAGCCCCACAGCTTCTGATGCATGAGGAATAGATGATGATGGGTAGAGCATAAATTTTACTGAATAGCAATGAAAGCTTTTTTTCCCAACAGATTTTGTGCAATTTAGTGCCACAGGATAAAACCAGCCTTGTGATGCCTCCCTAATGTTCTCTTTGAATGGGATTTGAATTTTAAGTTGCAGTCATTCTAGAATATTCATTTACTCAATGCTGTGTAACATAACCTTATTATAACTCAGGACTATTCTATCTTCATCAGTAGTTCTTCCACTGAAAAGAGGACCAATTTTCTTGGGTAATGGTCATAGATATTTTCATGCCATGATATTTCTTCATATGACATATTGGCTGTGCAACTCGACACCAAATTATCTCCATATCCATCTCCTCTTCTTGTTGCCTTTAATGCTCTTTGTATTAGAGTCACAATCATGCAGCAGCCTCCTGTAGCTATCAAAGTGCTGAGAATCCCTGTACAGTCTCAATGGCAATCTTGCCCAACTTGTCTTACAGTCTTCTGCTTCTCTCACCTCAGCAGATATGCTCAACTTTGGAGTGGACAAGACTTTAATTTCAGCAGAATAGTTGCACATTCACAGAATCATTTTCTGCCATACTTACAGACTCTGGAGCTTTGATGAAGACTTTGGATTTCCCAAGCTGGTATTGGTCAGGATCCATGTTGACTGACTGAAGGAGGTGGAGGACTCCTTGTTTCTCTTCTCCTCTCCAAGCAGGCCAGGTTGCTTTGGTCAGAATGGCATACCTTAACCATCAAGGAGAAGAGATTAAAACCTGACATCAAACAGCACCAGCAGAACACCACTGACACTTAGTCAGCATTACCCTAGGGGAGGGTTGACAACTGCAGCAGGACTCAGAGCTTGGTGCATGTGAAGATGCATAATATTAAAATGTTTGTTTAGTGAGACCAAACAACTGCAATGAGAAGGACAACTGTTCCCTGGAGTCTCCTATTTTCAGATACTAGTTTTACTATTTGGCAACTGCAGCAGTTAATTACAGAAAGTTCTGCTGTTATGTGCTTAAGTTCAGGGCAAGGCTACTGACTAGCAATAATGTATGGCCCAGATTTGAATATCCACATCCCTGATATGCTGGATTCATCCCCAAACATGTGGCAAATTTCCCACTCAAGCCTTCTCAGTCTGTCTTGTTCTTACAAAGGTCATTCCTGTTTCTAAGGAAGTGATCAGCTCATGTCCTAACCCACCTGTTCAACAGCTGGTCTGCATTTATCAGGGAAACATTCTTGGCTCTATCCCAGAGAGCCTTTGGCTAGGCCTCTGGTGCAAGAGGGAAGCAGTGGTGATGTTGGTGCTACCTAGGAGGAGCTTTGGGAACTGACCACACAAAGGGCTAGAGAAGGAGGAAGTGCTATAACAACATGTGTCTGATAGAAAGAAGCAAGTAGTCTTTTCTCTCATGGTATTCTCTACAAACCTTCAGAATGAGATAGATGCCAGGTTGCAGCCCCTCTTAAACTGTCCACTTTTTCAGGCTTCACTTGGGCTTTGTTACTGCCAGGCTGGAGTTGCCTTGTCCCACTGTCCACCAAAGGAGCACTGAAGGGCTTTAGCTGCCTCAGTGTGACTATGGACAAGTAACTTTCTAGCAGCAGCTATTTAGAGTCCCTTGACAACAAGACTGGAGAACAGCGAAATATGCTGTGACAAATTTCTCCCCAAATCTTGTATGTTCTTTATTCTTGACAATTTCTTTGTAATGCCTTAAGCATACTTGGGTTATATAAACTAAGCCATGCTTATTAGTGAAACTGTTCAACAAATGAAAAAGCAATAAAGTATGAAGTTCAGTTTGTTGCAATTCCCAAGTTCTTAAGATGATTTAGGCAGCTCCTAACAAAATGTTCTCGAAAATACATTAAGGGCATGTTGACTACTCATTACTCAAATGTTATCCAGCCAGGAAGCAGAAACAGTGTCATGCAACTTAAGTAATAACACCACGCAAAGAAAAACAGCAAACAGTTAACTTATGAATAACTCAGTAGGATGCAAAACACAGATGTTTTCATGTTCAGATCTCTCAGTTAGAAATGCTCAGGCACTATGCTTGGTGGTATAATAAAGTAGCTCTTATGCCACCTTAAATATCACACTAATACATCATCTGTGCTTAGACAGTGTGTAAACTTACAGATTTATGTGATTTATCAGTATAATGGAATAAACAGATGCAACCTAGTAAGGAGCTGTAAGTTAAAGTAACCCCCAGTGCATTTGCTTATCAGCCTCTTTGCAGGTTCTCATGTACCACCAGCAGTGTAGCTGTATAGGTGGGTCTAAGCAGGTCTGAAGGTAAAGCTGAGGTTAATAAAGGTGTTTGAAACTGCTATACAACAAAATTTGACATGACATTTCAGCATGTTGTAAATTCTTTCCTACATCCCCTGAGCTGCAAAGGAAGGCACAGGGAAAAACATGACTTAAGACCTTTTACTATAAGTAAAGCTCTGGGGTACAAAATAAGAATAGATTTGAAATTCTTCCTTTTCACCCAATTAACTTCATACATTCTACTGGTGTGACAAGTCTACAGGGCAGAAGAAACAGATTATTCTACAGCAAGCAGTTAGCTCTTATGTCTAAACAGAGGAGTAGGGAGCTCAGCTTTCAGACCAGTTATGCTTTGGAACACACAGGCCTTGTCAGTGGCTGTGGCTTTTTGCATGCAAATGTAAATTTTGTACATAAAAGTCTATTCAGCCCAGAAATCTCCACTTCTGTGGAGCTGCCAAGGAACACCCCATGAAAACAAGTGCATGAGCATGCACTGCCTGTCCATGCCAGGCCCCAGCACACTGCTGCTCACACTGGCTCAGGCTCTCAGAACAGAGCTTGTTCTGGTGCTAGGGTACTGTCAATGGAAAGGGTGCAGGAAGAGTTTTACTGATAACAAAATGATAAATTTAACATGCCTAATGAATTAGAAACAAACGGATGAATTCCACAAAGAATGGTTTCGGTTGCCTGTGGATCCAGAAGTACCATGTGCCTTTCCTTTGTGCAGACCTGCACAGCCCTCAGAATCACTGTTCAACAAGGGTTGAGGCTACACTTAATACACATTATCAATCTGTTACTCTGTGTCAGCAACAGTCTGTGTTAAGTAATTCACCCTGAAGCACATTCATGTTTATATGTCTGGGCTTGAAGAAAAAAGTAATTTAAAACTGTTCTATAATGAAAATTGAGTCCACACTGTAAGGTATGTTAGGTCTGACTCTTACTACATGATTAGAATATTCTTGGTATTATCATGAAGTATTGGCTATGTCCTGTGCTGTCTGATTAATTATACTCCTCTCCTTACAGCAACTGATTGGGTTTTATGCTTTATATTCTCGAATGATATCCAAAGACTTCCAATAAAAGCTGATTTGTCACATAATGCCTGTTTGGGCATTTATTAGCTGTAAGTCTCAACTTTCTAAAACACAGAAGCTGAATGTTGTATAAATCTTGAAACTGCTCTTATTTAAGAGGATTTCATTAGCTAGTGGAGGTAGTTAATCATCTTAACAGCTGGTCCTGAGACACCAAAAAAAGCATTGGTCTTCCAGAGCTCTGACTTGCTTTCATTCATTCAGTGAGCAGCTGCAGTGCTTTCAGTTGTAACCATTCCCAGCTGTTGGAACACCAGTGGAAGGATAACGAGCAATTTAAGCTTTTTACACTGCAATGGTTGAATGGCAGGCACGTATTTCTTTACCTACCTTCTGTCTGTCATTGGCAAAAAGAGTTGGGAGAGCTAGAGCAGTAGCATTTTAAACAAAGGCCAGCAGCTAGACACTCAGGTTTCAGGCACTGCAGCAGTTCCCTTAACTCTTTTTAACTCTGAGGAGCCCTCTCAAAGTAACTAAGGCTATAGGCAAGTTTACAGAAAAAATGAAAGTACTTTCAAAAACACAAAGCCAGGTCTTAAAACACTCTTAAATCTCTGTGTGATCTAGATCATTGCACAAGGCAACTCGTGGGAAAAGGGAAAGTGGGAAATGAGAAGCTTTCAGAACTGGCAACCTCTTACTACCCTCCTCACCATATGAACAACTGTGCTGTAGTACTTCTAAAGGAGTATTATCCTACCTCTGCAGAAACTTCTGGAACACCCGTCTGTAGGCATAGCCAGCTCTTCTTACTCGAATATTTTCTTTCAGACCCAAGTATTCCACTTGATGTTTCACCCTGTGGACAAAAACAACACAAGATTTGCAATCTATTTTACTTAAGCAAACTTGTGGATTGAGGCATTCTTAGAAGTCCAAATCATATTCAAAGACTGTTGACTGCTAAAATTCATGTACAGGTACACGAGTCTATGTTTGCATATTACCATGAACACTGCAAGGTGGGAAAAATATCCAATACAGGTAGACTACAGTGCTGAAATATATGTAGCAAGTTTACCATAGCATTTTTCCTAGTTTAACTTCCCATCTCCTAATGAATTTATGGATAGATTTCTAAGCTAATCCTATTACTCATAAAAGGCCAAGTAACTATTAGCTATACTGTTACACAGCTGGTATCCAAGGGACTGGGAAATGGTTGTGTCTTCTTTTGTTGAAGGTTTTACCAAGGTTTTACATAGCTCAAACAGCAACAGTTACACAGTAGCATTTCTTTGGTTGTTCTGGAAAAAGCCCCAGATGCCAAACTTTCACTCCACAAAGATTCAGACAGTCAGGCTGGTATTCTGATGAAAAGCTAGCATTGCTTCTTGAAAACGCTTGAAAATTTGAAGAATTTCAGTTGCTGATTTCCTTTGCATTTCCTTAATTTTCTCATCTGTCATGTGACTGAAAGAAGCAAAGCCAGTTTTTAACTCTGGTGCTTCTGTTGCTGTTCTTTTATAGGGCAAAGTATAGAAGTTTTAGCTTTCAGTCTGAAATAAAATAGTTGTTGAGATTTTAGTCCTGCAAGTTTAACAAATGGTATATAAGAGAATTTTTTTAATGTATAATAAAAAGTGAGACTGTAAGATCTGACTTAATTTTGTTTTGCTCACTATTTCCCTGAATTTACAAAAGATTTTTCAGATCCTGAAACACTCAGTTAATTCAATGTTATTTCTCTATTTTGAAATATTAAATTTCAATATAAAATGCACTACCCATTGATTGTTTTGTTGAGACATTTTTTTCACATGACTCATAGTATGAAGGGAAAAAAATCTTTTGAAATCCCTTGCCACAAATGACAAAAGCCCTTCAGTTATTTCTTCTTCTGAGAGATATTTTACTACATGATGAGTGATACTGCTCTTTTAGCTTACCATAAAGAATACTACACATTTTAGCCTTGCTGTGGTTCAAGGAATAAAGTATATTTTGTACCCACTCCAAGAATTCTGGTACAGCAGAATGTTGGTGGACAAAAGTACATTTTCCTGTTTATAGCTTTCCCTCCTGTTCACATCTGGAATAATGCACTGGAGCAACAGTACTACTCCCATTTTCTTACTGTCCTGCCAGTATTAGTGTCCAGCACCAGAGAATTTGAGACATTTTTCTGTTTTTCCCTTTCCTTTCTGAGAACAGGCACACAGAAAATCTCCCTCCAGGCAGCAACCTCAAGCAGGTCAGGGTCTGGGAATTCAGCTAATGCAGCAATTTTGAATACAAGTCCAAGTGGCTGTGCCAGGACCTGAACAAAAACACATTTCAAGAACACCCCAATTTCTGGAATAACTAAGGTATTATACAAGGTTCAGATATTACACAAGGCCTGTGTTTCAGTGCTAAATATTCTAGAGTTATTCAGTAGCAGTAGAATGCTGGCTACATGGCTTCTGTGAGCATGAAGTAAGACAGGCTTTGTGAAAGGGTTTTTTCCTTTTTCAGTACCATTTTCACGGTCTAGTAACCTGCCACTAGTAAGCAAATTACTACTCCCATCACACTGACTCTGGCAGCATGTGTATGATGCAGCATTGTGTGACCACAGAAGAGAACAACAAAATCAACTTAAATCAACCGTTCAGCAAAATATCACATAAACTGAATTATATTTTGTACTTCCTTCAACACAAAATTTTTTCACGGTAAAATCAAAAAAAACCAACAAAATTAAGGCTAAGTTTGAATTGTCATATGCATGTTAAATTATCTCTTCCCCAGACTTGTCACCAATTGCCACAACATAAGTATCCCCTGTGATGTCCTAGTACAATAGATGGGAAACCACCAATTTAAATGGAAGGGAATGTTAGGAATTTCAAACAGGGATTAAGGATTACCATTACAAGGGGCACTTCCACTTTTGTCTGAGTTTGCTAGTACACAATCCTTTGTATTTCCCTTGGCAAATACAGCAGCCACTGATAACACACCATCCTCATTATGGGAAAACAAGAAGAAATCTTGCCCATTTTTGCCCCAAAAGGGTTTCCTGAGAGCTGCCCTTTTCTCAGGACTAGGATTTTATTTGTTTCACTGGTTTCCCAGCAACACCTTCCACAATCACAGGCCTGTTTCCCAATACGTAAATGACTGATTTTAAAAGCTCCTCAACTTATAGTTAAAAGTTTTATACGTGCTTTTCCCAGGATCACTTATACTTTCCTCCTTTGGTCACCAGCATGAGTGGAAAATTAAGTGCTACATAGTAAGATTTTCAGGGGTGGAAAAGCTAGAGAAAGAGGGTCTATATTTACCGCCAAGCCCTCAATGACACTTTGAAGTGCAGCCCCAATTGTGGCTTCTGTAAGTGCTCTCCATCTGCATGTGATTGTGCTAGTCTGCATGCCAAACGGCAGGAAGGGAATTCTGCTGCTGTGTGGTCGAGAAAGCTTTTTATCAGACTTTGCAAGTTGTTTCACTGTGATAAAAATAACCACTTGCTTTATCAGCAATCTCCCCATTATCAAAAGCACTTTGTATATAGTAATAAATCTTATCTGCAGTAGCACCTCACATAGTATGCATACCACACTGATCTCCTACCTCAGTGCAAACAACAGCAGAATCTTTTTTTTCAGGTAAGAGGAAGATGCTATAAGCACCAGATAGTTAAAGATGCCTTAAAACAGATGTGATGAACCAAACTAAGGATTTAGACAGCTATTTAACATCTATATAACCACCTGATATGATATTCCAGTGAATTCTGTTTAAAGACTTGGCTAATTAAACTTTAAAGTCAAGAAGTAGAACAGGAACTTTCCACATTCTTGGCTATAGAGACTTTCTGGCTCATTTGACACAAAAGCAGATACAGACATCCTACTTGGCTTTTTAGCTTAACGGAAGGTTGTTTTCAAAGCAAAAGTTAGAAGGGATGTATGATGCATTTGGTGTGCAAATTCTACATGGAAAAGACATCCTACTTGGCTTTTTAGCTTAACAGAAGGTTGTTTTCAAAGCAAAAGTTAGCTGAGTCTTTAGTACACTGATAGTGTTACTCATGCAAATGTTGCTCATTCATAACTGATAGGAGAAAAGCAAAGAACTGCATACACCAACTGCTGATTTAGACCATCACTTAGCTTCAAAGTTTAGGAAAAGTCAGGGCATATTTCATTTCTGATGGGTTTAGTGAATCTAGTTCTGTTTGTTGTAGGCTATAGGATTAGAAATTATGAATTTGTGTGGTTTCTTTCGACTATTAGCACTGTTTCTCACCACATGCTCTGCTTATCCCTACCTGCTCTCCTCCCAGTCCCGAGACTTCTTTGTTTCATTTGGTTTGATGCATCGGATGTAATGGGGTGTACATTTCATCAGGGTGCCAACAAGGTCATTTGCTTGTTTCTGGAAAACAGAAGGAAAACAATAGGATCTGAGCTGAACAGGGTAAATCATGAGAGAATTCTAAAATCACCGACCATCTGATGATTATTCAGTTGACTACACTCAGTTGACTTTGGTCTTTGTGCAGAACAATCAAAGTGCCTTGGGATAATATGAAAAACTTAGCAGTAAGTAGAAGGCACTATTATGTCCAGCTATGAAATATATTTAAACTACTGTATAAAAATATGGAGTGATAAGGAAAGCATCAAGTGAACCTGTCAGGGTGAAATATGAGGAACGATAAAAATTGATAAAATATTGATTTCTGAAGTCATGTGTAATCTAAGTGTGTATTTTACAATCAGGCTCCAGAACAGACACTCTCCCCCTAACATTTGCTGCCTTAATTCAAGGCACACTGTGGTCAGTAGAAAGATTTCTGTTGCCTTCAGTGGGTGTTGGATCAGGCCCCACTGCATTTCTGCACTATAAAGAGACCAGTTATCTGTAGTTAATTGTAGGACATGAAGTGGCAGAGTGAAGCAGCTCATTCATGATGCACATGCAAGTATTACTTGTTTGGAAAATTCACTGCTGTAGAATGCAGCTGAACACAACATTTAATGAACACTGATGCTGGGCAAAACACAGTTCTAACAGCTGAAACATCACCTAGCAATCGAGATAATCCTGGTGTCTATCTTGAAAAATGACAGTAAAAAAGAAGCAAAGACTTTTTTTTTATTTATTTAGGTACCCATCCACAAATGCACATGCACATGCTGACATTGCCAAATGAGACACACCTTGATTTTGCTGCCTGCAGTGGTAGGACGGCCCTTCTTGTCTGCTTGAAGGTTTTCAGGAAACAGAGCCTTTATAAAAGGCCTAGGAAAGAAGTTATAAAATAGGGTTGGCATAGAAAGACAAGTCAATGCAGGCCTGTCAAGGAATATGCTGTAAAAGTTGATAGTTGAGCAGAATATAAATAGCTACTTCTATTCATCTGGAGTTATAGCAAATCTATTTTAAGATTAGTGTTTTCCAGAGCTTCATTCCTCATAGACATCCCTTGCTATTTTAGTGAGCATTGGAAGACATGGTACCAGACTTCTAGAAGACCCAAAGAAATGCACACTTCTTAAAAAATAAGCATCAACTAATTAAAACACATTAAAAAAAAAGAAGTTACTTGAAATGTCAAAGCAGTGCCTGTTCTGAGACAATGACAAAGCACTGATGGCCTTGAGGCCAAAACAAACGGTTGCCATTACACCATTTGTCCTGACACTGCAGTGCCTCACTCACTCCAACTGGCAGAAAATGAGGGTCAACACATAAGGCAAGTTATGCTGTTCTACTACAGTGATGTTTTCTTTCCACTTTTACACAAACGAGTTCACAAGTTGTAAAGAAGAGAAGTCAGGCCCTCTGCAGCCATCTGAACTAACATGTTATTCCTAGCTTTAAGCAAGTTTTGCTTACGTACAAATCACTGCTCTGCATGAGTTCAATCAAGTCCATGAAAAGAACATCCCGATTTCTCTCGCAGAATCCATCCATATCATAAGATACCTGGGCCAAGGTGGAAATTGATTGTTTGTGGTAAGTTGAGAACCCAATAATTAAAGAAGATTTAAATTCTGTCCTCATCAGTAGCTGTTCTGAACTTTTCGGTTAGTCTGGTAAAACTTAGAGACTACAATGAGCACTAAATCCTTGCATGTATTATTAAACTCTTTCACAACAAACATAAAGGAGTTTCATCCATATATTTAAATTCAGTTTAAATTCAAATTTAAAAAAGATTGTTATGGAGCTAGTGAATGGAATATGACACAAGTGAATTGAATACCCAATTTTATTGATGACAAAATTCTGTGTAATAAGGATTTACTGTTATTAAGTATAACTGCAGGAAACCATGAGCAGGCTGAGACATAAACCCAAGTAAGACAGAACTGTACATTATATTCCCAGTGTTACTGGTATATCATCACCAAAGCATAATTTTTATATCTGAATTCTTTAAATTTACTGCTACTGTGACAAACAATTAAGATGACAATTAAAAAAAAAGACATTGGACACTTATTTCTTACATTTAATATTAAAAGTTGTGGTTAGTATGCTTGATAGCAGCAAGGCCCAGACTCCTCTCTCCTCAGCAAGGGACATGTGTTAGGGCATATTTGTTCTCAGCTCCCTACACTGTGAAAGGACACTGTCTCCTGAGATAATCCAGCTATTTAAAATCCAAACAGCCTCTTCAGGGCTTCCCCTTTCCTTTCATTACTGCTCTTTTTCTCTATAAATACATTACAGAGAGTTCAGTGATGATTTTCCACGTTACCTTTCCAGCATAATGATGAATGATAAATCCCTGGTTCCAGCTGTTGAAGTGTTCATGAGTTCCAATCTGCATCTGGAGTTTCTGAAGTAGAGTTTGATCAGCTCCTTCTCCCACTGCATGCATTGTGGCACACACATCATCTAAAATGCTCATAATCCCTGGGGGATTCTTGTTGGAAAACAAGAACAGCAGCAGAAGTGAGCGGAAAAAAAATATGATGCCAGTTTTTCCCACCAAGCAGAAAATTTATCTTTGCTTCAAAAAAACCTAGAGCATAGTCAGGAAGAATTTCCCTCTAATCAGCAGAGATTAATTTTTACAGTCATGAAAATATTTCGAGGAGATAAGTCACTTTGTGTAATGACAGTGATAGTGGAAACAATGAGGAAAACAATGATTACTGTTGGGAAAAAAAAACAAAACAAACCCACCAAAACACTTTACATTTACTTTAAGCTTTGTTCTCATTCCACCAAAAAATAAACCCATGTCTGAGGAAAGTATTTAAACTTACATGCTGTAGTTTGACTAAGTTAGAGCTAAATATCTGAGACTGTGGCAGGAAATCTAACCTCCTTCCTAGTTAGCCTGATGCTGACACTAAATGGCAAAATCTGATGTGCATTTAAGGATGAGTCACTATAGTGTTTGAACTACTGTCCTAGCCTACATGGAGATAAAGACCTAGTGGAAAAAGAACTACTCCTGTCCTAAAGGAGAAGTCAACATTTGCTGTCACCCCAAACTGGAACATAAAGACTTGAAACTGCAGAATATTCTGTGGAGCAAAGACACAAAACTTCTTTTATCTACAATACTTCCTCTTCATTTGTTTCTGCTTAATTTGCAACAGTACCTCAAAGGAAGCTGGTGGTATAGCTTCCCCAAACTCAAATACATCTCCCAGCAACACACAGAGCCTCATGTAATGTCAGTAAGTTCATGATAAAGTTAGGTTCCCAAAATTTTCATTGCCATCATTATATGTTTTAGTCACACATCAGTCATGCTATAGTATAGTCCTCTTTTTGGATGGTATCTTAGATCACATATATCTTAGAGCTCTTATAAGACATCTTATGTAAGATTTATATATAGATTTAGTATGACTCAGTAACTGAACAACAGTATTTGCATTTTTCCGATGAACGTTCTTGACAGCAAAGCAGTTGCCCAGATATTTTAGATAAAAAAAATCTTGTTTTTTCCACCTGTTTGTTCTAAATACTTACCACTTTGTTCTCTATAAGGTCACACACTATTTTGTTGTTAAAGTATTCTATTGGTGTCCACCTAATTCCTTCTTGCACATATTCTTCCTGTTGAGTAAAAAGAAAGATGCAAATATTGCTTTGCACTGCAGATGTAGCACTAGATTTACAACACACTCCACAGACACAAACTCTGCACTACTCATGTTCAGGAAGACTTGCCAAATGTATGATTGGGTGGAGGTGGGAGAAATGACCCTAATGATAGTTAAATCCAGCTCTCTGCTGCCTAAAAGATGAATTGGAATCCCACTCCGTTCTCCCCACACATTCCTTTGTCATTCACAGCCCTTCGGTGCAGGAATATTTCAAGCACATTTATTGTCAAAGCATTTTGCAAATAGTAACAAAGTGACTTTTAGAGTATCTTGACAGTGCACAAAGCATCCACCTCCTAATCTATTTTAAAAATTAAGATTGTGACAGGCATATCAAGGCTCAGACCCCCAAAACAACACATTTAAAGATGCACATGAACTGGAGTCACAGCTGGACTTTTTATTTCTGTACACAATTACTGTAACCATAAAGACACCTAGAGAATGACTGGGCAAAAATTCATACTAAAATGTGATTAAATGGACCTAATCAGTTGTGTATATACGAGTTCAGCTAGACACTTTGCAGATCACTTGTGCATTCACTGCAATGACTGGTTACTTTCACACAAAGGCATTTGTGTATGTGCATTCCTGAAAACACTGTCCCAAGGCTGGTGCCAGGGCTGAGCTCCCACTGCACAGTGCTCCTGTCTCAGCTGCATTCTGGCTGCCCTGCCATGCAGAAGCTCAGGCTCATGGAAAGTGAGATTTTGCAGTAAGACTGTGAATAGAGAGCTACAAATACTATCACAAGTATTTTTGCATTTGTCTCTAATTGATTTCATTCATATATATATATACTTATAACAACAACAAAAAGAAAAGGTGTGGAGGAAATTAAGAAAAGCATTCCCAATTAACTGTGTGTCATGTTCAGGGAAAGCACAGGGATGGAACTGAGCTGCAGTTTTCCATCTCTGGAGTCAATGAGTCAGACTTTGCAGCAAGCCTGGGCAGAGTCATATGACTGCATGAGCACACCGTGTGAGGGACTCACTTCTGTGCCACTGCATCAGAGAACAAATGTCTGCAGCTCATGGGCTTTAGAGTTTTAGGGTCAGCCAACAACAAAGGTTGGTTGGGTTTTTTTTAGCTTTGTCTTGCTTAACAAGGCAGATTTTACTGTTAACAGATGATGAAACCTCAATTTTTCCACCAACTGAAAAAGCAAAAGCTCATTTATGAATTCAAAAATAATAAATGTCTGGTTACCTGCTCTGCCTTCAGTGTCAGTTCAATAAAAATCTGCTGCAGTTTTTCATTAACGAAGTTGATGCAGAACTGTTCAAACCCGTTTTTCTGCAGAAAAGGAAACAATTTCAAAATTAGTCTCCAGCCTTATATACAATAATTTTTAGTTCTTATGTTGGCAATCAGCTTCAAAGAAACACTGTCAGTGATAGATGGGTTGCTGACTTTATGGACAGTCTGTGGAATCTCAGATCTTTCTTTTAAGATCAATGACCCAGTTTCTTTGAAGTTACTTCAATACTTTATGGTTATTAAGTGAGACATTACCAGCAAGATCACAATGTCCAGGAAGTTGGGTTGGGATTTTTTTGCTTTTATTCTGGCCACAGCATCTAGGGGGTTTTCTTCTGTTTTGGATTTTTCCCCCTCTAAATTACAGAAAACCCTCTCATAGGTCAGATCTGCTCAAACCCCGAGTATTGTACTACCTTACCTGGAATATTTCAAAGCCATAAATATCAAGGACACCAATGTTATATTCTTCATGGTCCTTCTCCATAGCCTTATTAATAGACTAATAAAACAGAAACAAAATGTAAAACAAAGTGTAGTTTACATATTTCAAAGATACAGATATTCTTAAATACTTCGATAAAAACACTGGGGTTCTTAAAAAAGAACCTATTTAAATGGAATACAGATACATATAATGGGGTATTTTACTTTCATTTTTTAATAAAGCATTACTAACAGCTAGGAAATGAACAGTATACTATCCTGTTTTCCAGGTCAGTGAGGCTTTGGATCTACTATTTGTAAAAATCTTTCCTCTTTGGTGTAACTGGCTCAGTTAAAGAAAAGGAGCCAATATAGCAAAGAACAGCTTTAAGTCTGCTATTTGCAGCTGGTACTCTGAATCTTTTCACCTCATTCTGTGCTTCCACACTTCTCAGTGTCAGTGCTGGTCCAGTGGGAATTACAGGGCTATCATGATGAGGGACACCTATGAGACACCAGCAGTGCCACCACAGAGGAGACCTCTGCTTCATCCAGACAGCATCTGTGGCCAAAGGTACAGTTTCCACTGCTCCAGCCCAGCCCAGAGTCTCACTCTGAACAAGAGAGTACTTCAGCATGGAGAACAGAATTTGGCCATTTGTTCAGCTGCCACATCTGGATGCTGAAGGGGTTCTTTGCAGGACAGTGGGGTAAGAGAATAAGGGACCATAATCCACTAATTCTGCTTAACTGTGCAGGAAAAAGTAAGAATCAGAGAATTATGGATGCTGACAGGAGGGAAATGTCAGAGTATCATATGGGACAGTTATGGCAGGAGACTGAGCAAACAGTGCTGACAGCACAGCTCATTGCTTCAAAGAAAACGCAGCATTTGTCATATAATCACTGCCTTGTGTTTGATATCTATGGTCAGAGTCTCACTGCACAGTGCTCGATATAATCACTGCCTTGTGTTTGATATCCATGGTCATAGTCTCACTGCACAGTGCTCATGCTAAGGTTTAGGCAAAGGAACATACTGGGTCAAAGAAATGACAGACAAAAAAAGCACTGCAAGGAACATTCCTAGTTACTTCTCTTTGTTTTGACAATTCAGTAGAACCAAGCAACTTCAACTTACATCCACCAAGTAATCAAAAACCCGGGAATGAAGGGCCTTGGCCAGTGCATCCCTGGTGTAGCAGGCTTGTTCCACATTGAGAGTTACATTGATGGACTCAGATTTGCCTCCCCACTTGCTGTCCATTTGTCTGCTGGTCAGTTTTTCCTTTAGGCGGTCCTGGTTAATTCCCAGGAGAAAAGCAGGGAAAGCCAAAACTGCAAGAAACACCACAGTTGCTGGATTATTACTTACAGACTAAACCAGTACAGAACAAAGGAAAAAAATTAACTGCATCTCTAATAACAAAAAAACTCATGGGGCAGCTTAAAAAGAAAAAGAGGAGGGATTTGGGTTTTCAAAATTTCCCTAAGCTCCTCAAGGACATTTTCAACTCTTTGCTTACATGGATTTCAATTAAGATAAACCACCTTGAAGTGAAATAGTCAGCTATTTCTGTACCTTCAGTCCTTCAAACATGTAAGCTGCCTTAGGTCATAGTTTTGAACTATGTGGTTCAAACAAATCACTCTTGGAGGAGGTGGAAATAAAATACAGAGCTCACACGTTAGATAAAATCGACACCAATGAAAACTCTTTATACAAACATGAAACATTTAAAATATAATAAAAAATAAGCTATCTGCTTCCTAATAGTCTTTCCCTTTCTTCTTCTAAGTTAGGACACTGCAAAACATTTTCAACTGTCTTGCCAATTACTTGGTTTGTTTTTTAATCCGGAAGGATTTAGCAAATTCTGTTTTCCCTTGTTTAGAAGTAAAGCACAAAAAGACATCTGTGCAATAAGCAGCCACAAGTGTAGTATTCTTTGCATTCTTAGCACATGGTGCAGATGTTAGCTGCAGGTGTCACACACCTTAAGGGAGTGGAAAAAGAGAAACATCTTGAAAGCACATGGAAACAGCTCCCAAGGGCAATGCTTGGAGCTGGTATGGCACCTCCACTAAAGCACATAATCCTTTAACAGTGTTTCCTCCATGTTCCATTGGTTTCAGATCTGCTTTACTGGTGTGAGGAGGATGTAAAACGGTCACTAAGGCAGCAGCCACTTGTGCTTTACACATCTGTAATGTCACAGCATGACTTCACTAAACCCTTTAGTAGATTAATTCAAAATTATTTTTAAAATTGAAAACAACCACCAGCTTTCTATAATCTGATATAAATACCATCAGCAAAGTGATTAATTTTACTCTAGGGTACCAGGAAGTAAGCAAAATTGAGTCACTGGCAACATCTCTGGTAATTCACTGAGAACTCAGGTTGAAGAGAACATGAAAAGGTCAATATCATATGCTTCAAAATGGAAAAGAATGTAGGTAATTATAGACCACATATGCTCACATATACTGTAAAGGCATCAGGAAAAGCACTCAGCCAATACTACTGGTAAGAATTTATGAAGACAGCATAATGGTAAGAACCACTGTGCATACCTCAGAAACTCCTCTTTCACAGTGTTAATGATTTACTGTAAGGGAAGAGTCGCTGGCCAGGACTTGATATAACTTCACATTCTTAAGATGCCTGGTTGTTTTCCCTAGTTAGGGACCATAAAGTTACAGTCTGGAAATTATTATAAAGCAGGATATGCATGTAATTGAAAAAAATGATCCTCAAAGAGTAATCAGTGGCATTCAGTGGAATAGTTTTAAATACATGCTGTGAAGGAAAGCTGAAAAGACTCAGCTCACTTCATCAGTTTTCAGAAAGCACAAACCAACCCTCTCAACACAGTGCAAGTGTAAAGAGCAACGGGTTAAATTCTCATCCAGGAAAGAAGTAGTATTTGCCATGACTTGCAACATGGAAGATTTAGAATAAATAGTAACATTTTCAATTATTAATATAAACAAGGACTGTGACAGATACAAATCACTGTCAGCTTTAGTATTTGTCTCAGTGTCTGTTGGGAATGGTCTGTACAGATTTGATTCTGACTCAGATCAAGACTAGAGATTTTTGTGCCTTGAAGAATGGCCTGTTTTTCTGCAGTTGGCTGTATAATAGCAAGAATGTATTGACCAAACTCTTAAACTTTTATTATTTTGGGCAAAGCATGACTTAGCATGGTCTTGCATTGTCTTTTATCTTTTGTAGCTATCCAGGCTATAAATGCTTTCCTATGTAGTTGGCTAGGACAAACAGTAAACTGGGGAAAGGATTAATGAAGAAGAGAAATTCGCTCAACTCTCATCTTCAGAATGCAAATTCTGCACTAGACATTGTTATTTCTTCTCTGGCTTCTTTAAATCAGTATGTCTATGTGCAAGTTCTATATTCATTTTATCTTCTTTTTTTCTATGTATTATTCATACACAGCTTCTGTATTTATATCCCAGTGAGCAGGAGAACCATGGGGCACACGGCTCAGCACAGAAATACGTTCACTTTTAATGATTTACTTTCAATTCTTGTCTTTCCCATTAGTTACCTTGATGCAACACATTCTATATCTGTCTTGTCTGGCTATTAAATGCCTTGATTTCATGGAAAGGTTTAATACTGTGATTTAAATGGAAGCACAGTAGCTCATTTTGAATCATAAGGCATATAAAAAATTCTATACTTTTCTGTGAATGCATATGATGCTACAAAATGTTTTTCTTTGGGTTCAACTTAATGTCTTAATTTGAGAGAATGGTAAGGCTAAAAATCAGTAATTTTCCCATTTCTCAAAATAAAGTGCAGGACAGTACTAGTACAGTTGTGCATGAAGCTGACAGCACAAGATACTTTATTCACAACTAACCTACCTCAAAACTAACCAAATGCAATTTTCCTAAACATATTATAACCATTCTGAACTAAGAGTTCAAAGAAGAGACAGATATGTATAAGGTACAATATAGGCTGTGCTTATCCACTTTGTCCTCAAACTATCAAGTTAGCATAAATTAACATTAAAAGCAAGGTATAATCATGACAAAAATGTTTCAAACTCAAGGCCTATTAATCTTCCAATATCTTGCTGCTGTGAGCCTGGCTGATACAGAACAGCAGCAAGTGGTGAGGGATGCAAGGACAGTGTGTTGTGAATAAGGACAGAGTAAAGAAAAAGTTACCCAGTAGCTGTACCTAACAATGAAGTATCAGTTGAGAAACCTGAGACAGGAAACAACTGCAGTATGTAAATTTTGCCTGTCAGTTCAATTCTGAGTTTGTGTTTTCAAGGCATCTCTTCTAGCTGCATGTACATACATGTGTGTATGACTAGGCACCAGCTACATCCTGAGACTGGAGACACCCATAAGTTGGGAGCTGCTTTTTATGGGACAAAAAGGTCACACAAACCACCTAACCTGGTGTTCTTATGAGTGTGTGCTGAAAGAACCAAAGTTCAAGTGTGATTGACAGCATTTCTTACAATGGCTATTACTTCATACTCAAAGGTTGGAACAAGGCTTCTTAAATTCAAAATACAAAACCACATTAAGTTAGTGGCACTTTACAAGACAAAACAGGGGTCACAGCACCATTGCTCTTGGAAGAAAATCCAAAATGGCAGCCCTGCACAACAAGAAATCATGCACTGTGTTTGGATAAGCAGCTCTAAATTGCAGTTTACCTTACACCATCTGGGCTTAAGCCCATTGCTGCTTCTATAACAGTTTCCAGAGGTACTTACACTCCTCACTCTCCACTGCTGCGTAGTTGCCAACTTCTTTGAAGCTGATGTTTCCCAAGTGCAGTATTCCTGCCACTATCTGCAGTACCAATGCCTGTTCCTCTGCAAAGATCCCAATCACACTCATTGCATGCTGGGAAGAAAAGCAAAAAAAAAAAAAAAATCGAATCACAGACTCATCTTAGAAGTCTTTTTAAATTTTTGATATTAAAAACCAGAGCTTTTCAAAGAAGTAGAAATTCCTAAGGCAGCCCAATTTCATTGCAGACTGCACTGAAGTTTCAAAAGGTCCCACATGCCCTACTCCAGCATTTTTTTTGGTTTTTTAAAATTAAATACAGAAGCATATACACTATTTAGATGATGTATTAACAAAATAAATTCTGAAAAGAATAATGTTACTAAAAAACAAACACCTGCTCTTAAGTGTCACACTAAAAATACTTTCATTGCAAAATGGGCAACAATGAACCTAAGAGACAATGATTTTATTCCTTCTACACAGTTTATCCACTGTGACAAAGAACTGTGAAGCTGTACTGAATGACTCTAAAAAGCAGCATAGTGTCTGGCTCAGGCCATGAATTTCAGTCATTTACTGGAAAATAAGCCACAACAACACCGAGTTTTGGAGTTCAGAGTACTTGGGAACTTAAAGAATATCTTCTCAACTGACTGATTTTCTGAAATACCAAATTAGCTGGAATACAACAGTTACAATTTGGTTTTTAGACCTCTAAATGTGCTCATACCTATGTGTTAATATGTTTATTTGAAAGAGTAAGTTACTAATAACAGCAGGTTGACAGGTCACACAATGAATTGGCAGCAGCACTGGACAAAGATCCCCAGTTGGTGCTTTCACAGTTCCTTTCCCCAGCTTTTCAACCACACTGGTTTAAATAAGCATGAAAGGTTAATCAGCACTAAGAATTCAGCTAAAACAGGGAACTCTTTTATATTTTCTTCTAATGGAAGTTCCTCGCTGCGTTTGCATTTTCACATTTTTCATACTGCAGATTATCTGCACCAAATTAAATTTCATTAAGTTTGCAGCCTTCTGAGAAAGAACAAACTGCAAAACAAAATGCCTTTCTATAAAAGTTATCTATCTTCAGACTAACATACCTTGTTCTCAGGGCAAAATACAGTTAGAATAAGTTATATCTACATTAATTTCTCATTCCCACACTCATACATCTATGTCTTTGCTACAAATGGACAGTGAAAGGAACATACATCCACCACTGTGCAAATCATACAATAAAGAACTCACCAATGTTTCTTGGAAATCTGATTTGTCATTGATGTCATCGACTTTGTAGGACCCAGAGAGACTCAGATAGTAATAGTAGTCCATACTGGTAATGCCAAGACTGCTTTTTTGTTCTGAGGAGGCCCCTTCAATTAGCTGTAGAATGAAAATCCCCAAATTAGGTATTATACAATGATCTTCAGCAGAGATGAGGCAGGTCAGAAACAGGTGACTGAGCCTGAAATTACTGGGAGAGATGTGGCTAGTGCTGTGCCAGGTACATATCCTCCTATGTTTTGTTAGCTGCTTAATCCAAAAGGCCATATTCTCAAGCCTTAGTTTAGTTTTAACTTCCTAATAAGAAGCAAAACCTGTCACAGACTCGAATGCCTTCCATTGCCTTTTCCTCATCAAGAAAAAGCAAAGTGGGTTTTCCAGTCTGCAGTGTATTATCTATATCCTCAGGAGCAACGTGTTTTCTACGCCTACTGCAAGGTAGGCAGAGTTGAAAGCATACTAAGAAAGCATTATCTGTGACTCTCACTGTGAGGACAAACACCCTCAGACCTATGTAAAGTCTGTGCAGTCATGCACAGACATGGCTGCAACAGGAAGGAACGAACTAACCTCAAAAGAGAACAGTCAAATCCCCACAATCGCTCAACTCCTGTGGCAAAAAGCCTCTCCAAGCCACAGAGGAAAATCAGCAGGACAGAGCAAATTGTTTATATACCTTGGAAGAAGAGAACACACAGCTTCTGGAGCAATTCCAGCTCCAACTAGGCTTTCCATCCTGGCAATGGCACTTCAGCTTTATGTGAAGCTGCTTATAGTCACTTACAATGCAGAGTCTTTACCCTACTTTTGCAGAACTTGATCAACAGCACTGCAGCAGGGAAGGAAGGCACGTGTCAAGGACCAGTGAAGGCCAGAAAAGCCTTTTGAGATACAAAAAAGTGGGGATGCTTGGAGGATTCAACAAATAATATTATATACACACATATATAAATTGGCCTGTATATATATTTATACATATATAGGCCAGTTTAAAATGAAATCTGCTGAAAAGTTCTCATTTTCTATTCTATTCTACTAGATTCTTCCATATGAGAGTTCACAATTAATTTCCAAGCAAGCCCTTTGAAATACTGAAGTCCTTTTGTTCAGGAGCTGAAAGGCAGCCAGGTAGGTCTGTGGCAGATGGTGTCTTACCATGCTATCAAGCTTCCCAGTGGTGGCCAGGTGACCTTCGTGAGTAGGCACTCAGTAATCTCACTGTGTTGAAAATGACTTTTCAGTCAAAAGGAAAAACTGGTCCTAGATACTTTAAATAACTCCAAAAGGACCTATACACTTCTGACCTGGTAAAAAATGTGAAAACTCCTCTCTCCAGGATTCCTCATTACGACTCGAGATTTTTCCAGTAGGAAGTTGGAGATTTTCCCTCCGTCTGGTTCTCCACCTGGGCTAAACTGTATTTCAAAGTATTTCCCCTGCAATAAAGAAGTAAAGCTGTTAAACCATTAGTAAATGCAAAATTGAAGTCATGCACTTGTCCTGTATCCCAAGCAAGGTTACTAGGAGAGTTCATCTTTATGGATGCAGTGAGGGATAAGCTAAGCTTAGATTCCTGAAACATCACATGTCTTTCCTTCTTTCTGCATTCACACAGCACCAGACTGGGGACAATACAGCACATGTTAATGCAAATGTAGAGGTTCAGTGGCTTTTCTTCACTGCTGAGAAGTGGCTTCTTTTCTCTTGCTTGGTATACAGGAAACCATAAGGCTCACCTATACAGGAAGCCAATTAAACAGATTTATCACCAAAGGCAAACAGTGTTCTGTTGAAAACAAGGTAAAGCCATTATCTCTTGCTTTCAGGGAGCCATAAAATTGCATTAACACTCATGTTAGCTGAGGAACAGATCTCAATGTTTTAAAGCCTACATGTAACTTTTTAAAATGGAACCTATACTATGTCATCTAGTGAACAGTCACTTCACAATATTATCCTGACTATTTTATAATGACAGACTGCAGGTAATTCCTGCCTACTCCCTGTGTGTATAAGCAAATGCTGAAGACCTGATATTTTATAAACTGTGACCAGTACATACTCTAAGAGAAAAAAATGCACCTCTACCAAATGAAACAAGCCTTTCCTTTTGACATTTACTTTATGTTTTAAAACATGCTGTGTATTTTATTTAGATGTAGCTCACTTGCAGTCAATTTATAGCATACTCCTGAATACTGTCTCTGTAACAACTCAGAAGTTGGAAGAATAAAGTAATCTTTAAGGCAGAGAGACTTACAAATCTGCTGGAGTTGTTGTTCCGTACAGTCTTTGCATTCCCAAAGGCCTCCAGTAAAGGATTGGACTGCAGAATAATATCTTTAACATGCTAAAATTTTAGGAAACAAGAGAAATACAAATTCAGAAACAGACATTTTTAAAGTTCTTACAGATTTTCTAAAAACACCCCATGACATCCAAATTCTATATTAAAAAGACAAGAAATTCTACATCTGAAAAAAATCCTCTTCATCAGATTAGGAATAGACTCTAGTCATTTTTTCAGAGTTTCTAGTTCCTATTTTTTGAGGAAAATCCTACAAAATTAAACAAAATGCCTGAGGCGAAATATTGGTTCTTCTGTTAATGGTTCTGCCAAGCAACACAGTCAAGACATTGGTCTGTTTTTCCATCATCTTGATTGTAAACAACTTCCTTCTAACACATGAGCATTTAAATCTTTTGGGGGGTCTGGAACCACAACCAGTGAAGTCAGAGCAGTGTGAAATTCAGGAATCTTCAAGTGCTTCAGCAATCTGTTTTGAGACCAATGATGCTGCTATATAGATGTTTTAGAAAGCAATAAAATGTGTTACTATTGTCTTGTTATCTGATCCTAGGAGCTGGAAATATGGAGAAAACATCAGCTTTGGAAAAAAACCAATGCATGCTGGGTTGTGAAAAGAAGATGGAATTTTATGTCAAAAGAAATGCTCAAGGCAGCTTACCAACTTCATCAACACTTACTCTGTAATTACTGAAAGTACATTTTAGTTTTGTATAAAAAGCTGGAATTTTTTAAGTAAAACAAAATAATTACGTATAAAGGATGATTATCCTTATTCCAAAAATAACACAATGCATATCTGAATCATTCTCTTGGGTACTGAATGATACTCTGCAATGTCCCCAGTATCACTGTTGTGCAAAACTAAGCAGAAAGAAGATATTCAGCATCAGAAACTGCAATAAAGCAAAAATCACAGTAAGCACTCAAAAATGATGGTCTGGCCAAAGCAGCCACTACCTACCTACCACTGCCTGTCACTCAAGGAATGACATTGTAATGTCAGTAACAGAATTTTTAAAGCTAATTCACTCCATTAGCTTTAGTTCATAGGCTTTGACAGGCATAGCAGACATCAATAGTATAGTTATTGACAAAAGCAACTACCTGTCAGTTCAGCTAGGTTTCTGGTACTCCAGTTGTTCCTGGATAACATCATAAAACAAGACGATGTTCTTGCTGTGGCTCTTTGATATATGCATACAAATCAGAGATTTAAAGGAAGTAATAAACCCCCCCAAAACAGTTTTAGTTTTCAATAACATGGTCGGTGGTTGTTCTTAATCTGGTTAAGAACAATGACTAAAGTACCTTTCACCCTTTAACTATAAGCTGTGTATGTTATTCAGCATGAGAGCTACAGCACTTCCAGCAGAGCTGATTCTGGGTCTGTGGATCTCCCTCCCGTGGCTCCCATCCCAAGCAGCCCAGCAATCTGCTGGGCACTCCAGAGTCCCTGGGGGCTGGGATGTATTTCTAGCTGCTCACTCACTTGCTTCCTAGGCAGAGTACCCCTTATCTGCTGAGATATACGTTTCTCATTCTACCTCTAAAAACAGTTCTATGTTTATGCTTCAGGACTACTCTGTATCAACTCACCTGTACTTTTGGGCCACCTCCTGAAATTTTGGAGACATAACTCATGATATATTTAGCAGCTACAGTCTTTCCAGCACCACTTTCCCCACTACAGTAAAAGAAACAGAAAAATGCGTAAGTTAAGTTTTTAAGTAGCTCTAGAATGGAGTAATTTGATGTTCATCTTGTCCAAGTGAGGCTAAGGTACCTTAATAATATACACCACATTTTCACCGCTAAATCACTACAGTGTTGTAGCATGGCTACCTTAATAATATACACCACATTTTCACTGCTAAATCACTACTACAGAGACTGTGATACAGTGTTGTAGCATGGTCCTTGGATGTGTTTGTGATATATAATTGTGAATACATCATCTTGCATGGAAACCAGAATCTCTGTGGGACCTCAAAGTCAGAAAACTCTGTAAACTGAGAAACAAATCTACTTCAACCAAGATGCTCAAAAGAGACTGTGTGTTAAGAACTCAATTCCCATTAAATTTAGTGGCATTTCAGACCTTAACTCAAAAACTCATTTGAAAAGCCAAGCTGCAAGTGCCATGCAGATGCCAACTTCATTTTAGGAGTCTTTTGTTTTAGGTGTTCCTGAATGGAATAATGAGGCATTATTAATCACATCCTGAATGACGGAAGAACTACCTTCCTGTTCCTATGCCTCTTGACACAGGGTACAAGAAGTCTTAATATTCCATACTAGCTTTCATAATTCCTTCCTTCCGTTATAATATTTCACTTCAATGGTGAATAATGTTTACATCAGTAGCTTTGCCTTCTTGCAATCACTAAGCTGCTCAAGAGGGAAAGAAGATTGGCATGCCAGACAATCCAACCTCACACTGTTTCATACCTTAAAGCTAATTCAACAGAATTCCTTCAGACTTACAAGGAATCTTGCTGCAAGTCAGCTTTGACCTTAATGAATTTACCATGACCTGAACCATTATACCAATACAAAAAACCCAACACATGGTTCAATGTCATAAAGACAGCTGAAATGTTTTTCTTGTGTGAAAATCTGTGCTATCTTTAAGCTCCTGAATAATTGCAGGGAATGTTGTTGACTCTTCTATCCTGCGCCTACTTGTTCCTGGATATGGATCAAATACACATCTTTTCCTGCACAAATTTTAGCTATGTCTGCCAGAGAAACATCAGCATGTCCTGCACAGGAAAAGGCCTTGCTGAGAATGAACAACTCAGAGCTCCTTATCAGCATGACTAGTAGATATTTCCAAAGGTTTAGTTTTGGAAAAACTCCCCAAACTGCCAAGCTACAAATATCACTTTACATCTTTAAAGCTTCCAAAGAGTATAGAAATACTGAAAGGCTTCTTTTTTATTTTCTCAGAAATGTTTTCATGCTTTTGTCTTCTCCTGACTGCAGTTTTACAGATTAAACAGAAAACTTGAAAAGGTGAAAAAATACTTATTATCCATCTCTGAAGCGCACAGCAGGGACAGGACGAGAGGACATAGTCTTAAACTGTACCAGGGGAGGTTTAGTTTCAACATTAGGAGGAATTTCTTCACAGAAAGAGTGATTAGATACTGGAATGGACTGTCCAAGGAGGTGATGGAGTCACCATCCCTGGAGATGTTTAAGAAAGACTGGACATGGCACTTAGTGCCATGGCCTAGTTGACATGGTGGTGTTAGGCCATAGGTTGGACTTGATCTCAGAGGCCTTTTCCAACCCAATTGATTGTGTGATGATTATTATTCTCCCGTGTCATCTTTCCCCAGCCACCAAGAAGAAAGTCTTTATTATTGGTATCTACTACATTCACAGGGACAAAGTTTGCTGAATGGCAAACTGTTTTTAGATGTTCAAATCAGCAACAGTTCAACAATAATTAAAATAACATTTCTTCAA